CCCCCCGCCCCTCCCCGCTGACAGCTGTCAGTTGGTTCCAGGCGTCCCGCTCCGGTTCTGTTTTGTTCCTCCGTTTATCTTGTTCATTAGAGTCCACGGGAGTGCGGTCTACGCTATTTGTCTTTCTCTCACGAGCTGAAATGACTGACAGGCTCACAAAGGGAAGGAAGGACGGGTTGAAGGGCCCGGAAAAGGGGAAATCCCGAATTCCGCAAGCAAATCAGGCAACGGCCGCGGGGCCGAAACAGCCTCGGCCCACGGGGCACCCTGGCCGTGAAGCGCGGCCATAGAAAGTGACAGGTGACACGCACCCGCAAACGGATTATTGGCCGAAGCGCGTGGCTACCAATTCACAGGAAGCCTCAGCACGCTTACGAGAGGAGCTGGGAAGAGGCCCTCCCTCCCCGGCCGTAAAGGAAACGCATTAACACAAAGCGCCCCTTCTCGCCATTAAAGCGAGCGGCACTGGCGCACCGGGGCGGCCGATGGGTGCAGCGTGCTGGGCGCAGCGGGGCCCCCGAGAGCGGGCAGTTGGCAACATGAGTCACGTGCTCAAAAAATGCTCCCTCCCACCCACAATTTAATTTCTGGGCCGCCATCCTGAGGAAGTAATCCTAAGTACAAAAGTATGTATTTTTAGCAAAATAATTAGAAACAACCTAAGTGCTTGAACATGGGGGACGCTTAAGAAAACGGCGGTGTACCCAGTTGAAAGAATATTACAGCCATTAGAAATAATGTCTGCTAAGTGCGCGTGCAGAGAGCGCGTGCGGGGAGCAAACGCCCAACAGGTAACAGAATATCCCACCGTGTAACAACAGAAGCCGCCCGACAGAAGGGCATTAAAAACAATGCGAGGACGTGCCCGGGAGATGAGCCCTGGGCATCTGCGTGGTGGGGTCCTGGGCGGCGGGGTTCGTTCGCTGGACTCCGTTTTCTTTCCCCAATTCCCCGAATCCGTTACATCCCCTTTTATGAGACAAGTATGTTTTGCAAAAGCCCGGCTCAGCCCAGAGGAACGGCCGGGCCGGTGACTGCGGCAGGACCCAGGACAGCCTCGGGGTTGCCAAGTTGCGAAACATAAATTGGGACAGAGGGCGCGCGCTCACCTGCAGCCGCGCATCCTCTCGCTCTCCCCGCGGGGGGTGCCCTCCTCCTGGGGGTGCTGGCGGGCTGGTAGCTGTGAGTTTGCCTATAAGTCCAGGCGGGCAGGACGCCTTTGCCACTGGGGACGCGAGGGGAAGCGCTGAATCCCCCCACCTGCGCAGCCCGAGGGGTGTTAGCGGTCAAGGCGGCCTGGGCGCAGTCGGGCCTCGCGTTAATGGCGCGGCAGCTCTTCTGCGCTGCAGGTTGTCTGGTTTTCTCCGTCTGGGGAGTCAGCGCCGCCCCATCCGTGCCTCTGCTCCCGGTTTGGATGAGAAGGTACAGGGTCCCCCATCCTTCGTGCTCTCGGAGGGGGTGTTGGGTGCTGCTTGGCGGCCACCCTCAGCTCTGCCCTGGTCTCCACTCAGGACCTGGGGACAGCTGGGGGGGGGGTCTACAGGTAGACAGAAGGGCCGGGGGCCAGGGGCCACCCCGAGGATCAGGGCTGCCCGAGTGCACGCTGGCTTCCCCAGGAATCCGGTCCCCTGGAGGCCACGGTAGTGGACCGCCCTGTGCAGGCCCCTGGGTGACAGCGTCCCCTGCTCACCAGGCCGGTGCCCTGGTGGGAAAACCCTGGAGGCCTTTGCTTAGGATTTATTTATTTATTATATTTTTATTGATCTCAGAGAGGAAGGGAGAGGGAGAGAGAGAAACATCCATGATGAGAGAGAACCATGGATCGGCTGCCTCCTGCTCGCCCCACACTGGGGATGGAGCCCGCATCCCGGGCCTGTGCCCTGACCGGAATCCAACCCTGACCTCCTGGTCTCTGGGTCCCTGCTCAGCCCCTGAGCCGTGCAGGCGGGCTGCTTGCCGTTTTTACTGGGAGGGTGTGGCCCCCAGGAGGGAGTGAGGAGGGAGGGGAGGCGCCCGCTCTGGCGGTCAGCGCGATGGCCGATGGCTGTCTCTGCAGCACAAACCACGCTGCCCCTGGGACCCGGGAGGAGGCGGCTCAGGAGCGCCACCCGCCCCTCCTGCTGCAGAGGCTGCCTGAGGCCCTGACGGAGGAGCCTGGAGTGGGGCGCAGTGACAGGCCTGCCTCCAGCTCTGAATAAGGGGCTCCCCGGTGTCTGCCTCTCCGCGCCCAGCCTGCGCGGGGGGTGCAGCCTGGAGACCTGTCAATCCTTCCAGCTCTGCTGGGAGCCCGAGGCAACCCCCCCAGGCCCAGTGCCGCCTCATCGAACCCCCACCTCCACCCCCGGGGACTCTGCTTCCCCGCCCAGGGGAGGAGGCGCCTGGCTGCTGGCGGGGGCGCACAGGGCTGCTGGGCCTCCATCTCAGGGGCAGGAGGAGGGGCTCGCTGGCCACCAGGGCTGACCAGGCCCAGGGCAGGGCGGCTGGCGGGAAAGCCCAGCACAGGACCGGCCGCGGATGCTGAGCCCCAGGCCTGGGTCAGACGCAGGCCACGCGGGGAGCGGACTCCTCAGGGGAAGGTTCTGGGCTCCAGGCCGGGCTGCCCGGGTCATGAGCAGAGCCGGAGCCGAGCCTGGACCCCGCCCCGGGCAGTGCTCCCTGTCCGTTCCCGAGGCTGCCCGGTGTGGGACGCTGGGAGCCGGGCTGGGCCCCTCCCAGGCGGGGGGAGGGTCGCATAGATCAGGAAGAAAACAGCTCACGAGTGTTTTGTAGAAAGTAAATCTCCAAACAGCACGCAGGCTGTTTGTGCGTTTATTGTCCCGACAGCTGGAGTGGGCTATTTCTGATCTATCCCGGGGAGCCTCCCCTGGGCGCCCACTTATTTCTGGTGATTGATTTGCAGCGGAAGAGCTGCGTGTGTGCATGTGGGGGGGTGTCCGCACCCACTCAGGGCTGGGAGACCAGGCGCTAACCCAGCCTGGGTCTAACTGGGTCTCCGACTGGATGGGGTTGAAAATTCGGGGAACCCCGGGGAGAGCAGCGGGTGCAGAGGGGACCCCGAGAGAGCGGGGTCTGGAGGTCCCAGGGCAGAGCCTGGGGGGGGTCACTCCCACCAGAGGCCCCGGCTCTGACACCAGCCTCTGCCCTCCCCTCGTCCGTCTAAGTGCTCATGAAATGCTCTCCCTCCCCGTCGTGCCCTGGCAGGATAACAAGGTCCTTCTGGAACCTTCTCTGCCTCCCCCACCCCCACCCCCAGGACCTGCACCTGCACGTGCCCCTCACTGCACTGAAGACGGCCCGGCCCCTCCACCTGCGGCAGACGCTCTGGTCCTCGGGTCGGCTCAGGGGTGCAGGCCTCCCGGGCTCCTGCCCGGCCCTCATGACCGTGCCCAGGAGGGCTGGACTCCCGCTTCCGCAAAGAACTTGAGGCCATGGCAGCGCCCCCCACCTCCGCCTGGCTGGTCCCAGGAACTCGATAGGTGTTTGTGGGGGAGGGAGGCAGAGGAGGGGGGGGACCTGTGGGTGTGGGCCTGCACTGTGTGCTCCCCGAGAGCTGGGCTCGGTGCCACATCCCAAGGGCAGAGCCCCGCTCGGAGCCCCTGAGGTGACAAAGGAAAGACGGGCATTTCCCACCCGGGAAGGCGGTGGCGCGGCCCTGGGCCTCCCAGCCCTGCCATCGCTTCTATTTATACCGGAGCCGCACTGGCAATTGCTATTCAGCTCAGGGCAGGCTGGGAGGTAAGATTGTGTAATAGAATTCATTCTTCCCAGGCCCCTCATTAAATCTCACCTTAGAACCGCTCCCGCCGCGGCTGGGACTCCTCACACCCCGGGGTGCGGGGGGGCGGGCGGGGGTTCGCAGCCTGTTCAGCAGCCTCGGGCCCCCCAAGGGGGATCCTCGCCAGCGGCTCGGGACTCCTTCGGGGGCTGGGGGCTGCTGGGCCCAGCCCCGGACCAGGGACTCGGGGTCCCGTGGCTTTGTGGGGGGCAGGTAGCCCCGGACCAGGGACTCGGGGTCCCGTGGCTTTGTGGGGGGCAGGTAGCCCCGGACCAGGGACTCGGGGTCCCGTGGCTTTGTGGGGGGCAGGTAGCCCCGGACCAGGGACTCGGGGTCCCGTGGCTTTGTGGGGGGCAGGTAGCCCCGGACCAGGGACTCGGGGTCCCGTGGCTTTGTGGGGGGCAGGTAGCCCCGGACCAGGGACTCGGGGTCCCGTGGCTTTGTGGGGGGCAGGTAGCCCCGGACCAGGGACTCGGGGTCCCGTGGCTTTGTGGGGGGCAGGTAGCCCCGGACCAGGGACTCGGGGTCCCGTGGCTTTGTGGGGGGCAGGGCGGGGCTGGGGCTGGGCACCCGCCTGAAACTGGGCTGAGGGTGGTCTGGGCAGGAGCTCAGGCAGCTGGAGGTTCCCAGGCAGCCCCCCCCGCATGTGCAGCGGCGGTGCCCTCTCCCGGGGGTCACCTCTGGGCCTCCTGCAGGCTCAGCCCCAGCCTGGCTCCAGGATGTCTTCCCGGGCCCAGCCCCTCTGTGCTCCGGAGCTGGCCTCACCACACGGCAGGCGCGCAGTAGGTGTTCAGTAAACGTCTGCTTGGAGCTCCGGTGCACTGAGCAGACCCTGACGCCTGCACCGCCTGCTCCTTCCCCGTCCTCAGCGTGGGTTCAGGTCCGACGAGGCCTCAGGGAAGCCCGCCAGCTTCCCGTCTGGCAGATGAGCCCACAGGCAGCCCCGTCACTCACCCGTCTCCCCCTCTTCAATGCCACCTTCAGGGGCTCTCCCTCTCGGGGGGCGGGGCCCTCCCAAGGCAGCAACGGGTCATTTCCAATCAAACCCTTTTGTCAAGTCACCACAGAGTGTGGTTTCTGGCCTCAGGGGTCCTGCCTGCGCCCCAGCCGAGCTCCCGCGGCCCGAGCTTGGGGCTGAGGTGGGGGGTTCCATGGCAGCCTTTCTCTGAACACCCCTCAGACAGCCCCCGGGGCCCTGGAGCGCTGCCAGGCCCAAGTGGGGACGAGGCGCTGCCAGCCACCCACACAGCCTGCCTCTCGCTATTTTTAGAGCCTCTTCTCCAGTGTTTCCCTGACGGGGGCTCCGGAGCTGGGAGGAGGGTGGGCCAGGCTCTGCGTGAGCCTCTCGGAGGCAGGGCCCCCGCCCGGTCCTCACCGCATGGGAAGCTCATCCCGTCCCACCAGCCTCCAGAAGGTTCCCCATCCCCCTCCGTGCAAGAGGGTCGGAGCAGGGGCCGCACTCCACGCCCCTGCCTCAGGCCCGTCTTCTCCAGGGGGTGGAAGGCCCCGTCTGGCACTTCCTGTGGCACTTCGAGTGGCCTGTCCGGTGTCCCTGTGGACACAGCGTCGTCCCTTCGGCTGCCCTGGAATGGGGAGGGCTGGAGGCAGGCCCGCCAGGTGTCTGGGAGGCCCGGGTTTCAGGACCCTGGACAGGGCGAGCCTGGCTGCTACCTGGAGGGCCCCTGGTCCAGGGGTTCTCACTTCTGGCTTACAAACCATCGCGAGGAGGCAAGCGCTGAGCAGGTGCCCTTCCCGGGGCCGCCGCAGACCAAGGCCCTCAGAATCCCAAAGGGGCCACGCATGGGCTTTTTAAACTTTATTTTTAGCTACACATGGGATTCACCTGTGCTCTCCCTCTGAGGTGCTGACCTTGGTGATGGTGGTGATGGTGGTTGTGATGATGGTGATGGTGATGGTGGTGATGGTGTGATGGTGATGGTGATGGTGATGATTATGATGGTGATGGTGGTGATGGTGATGGTGGTGATGGTGGTGATGGTGGTGATGGTGATGGTGGTGATGGTGGTGATGGTGGTGATGGTGATGGTGGTGATGGTGGTGATGGTGGTGATGGTGATGGTGGTGATGGTGGTGATGGTGGTGATGGTGATGGTGGTGATGGTGGTGATGGTGGTGATGGTGATGGTGGTGATGGTGGTGATGGTGGTGATGGTGATGGTGCTGATTGTGATGGTGATGGTAGTGATGATGGTGGTGGTGATGGTGACAATCACGATGGTAACCCACTGCCACAATAGCAACAGTGCTGTGCCACACACGGGCTGAGGACGACCACTCTGGCCTCTCCTGGCCCTGCACTCCCCGCCTGACCCCTGAGCCCCCAGGAGCCCCAATCTCCATTGTCAACAGCCCCTTCGTGAGAGGAACGTGGGGCTGCAACTCCCATGCATGAGCTCTGAGCCCTGGACGGGCAGTGTGAGGAGGGAGGGTCTTGCTATGATGGGAAGGTCAATACTTTCAGACCCCGACGTCCGTATTCACCCCCGGGGCCTGGGCTCACCCAGCGCCCAGCCTTACCGTCCAGGGCTAAAGGAGGGGGCTGTCGACTGTAGAGCATTTTGCAGGGACTGGCCTCCCTCCCTCCCTCCCTCTCACCCTTCCACCCTCCCTCCCACTCTCCCTCCTTCCCTCCCTCCCTCCCTCCCTCCCT